AATGTCCTTGTTTTTCTGATCCTAATTCACGTAAAGTAAAATTTTAAATTTTGTGGTTGTGCGTTATTAAATGATTTCTGGTGAAGCATGAAAGATAATGTAACTTACGATCTGTACCAACGTACGGGCTGTAATATTTATACTTGTATCAGTATATGCATATCGAAAATTTCCTTTTCTAATTTACAATTTACTGAGATCATTAAACTGTTTTTAGTGTGAAAGAAGTACACTGTATACCCCTGCATACTTTTCCACCTTTCAGTATATTTTAATATCAATACATTCGTGTATTGAAGAAAATGTAATTCCATCTTGCTCCTTTTTCTCCACGACTAACCGTACGAAGTCTATGGGGCAGTCGGTGATCTTTGGTATTTATCCTCTTTGTTCTTAGTCTTATTCTAAGCATCGCGGACGTTGACATCATCCCCCAGCATGTTCAAGTTACGAAAGGGAAGACGCGGGGGGAACGCATGTATACAAAACCGGATACAGGTGGGTGGAAAGGGTGGGTAGGGAATGGAAAGGGGGAAAGATAGACGGTACATGGCCTGTTAATCGAGTTTAGCTGCGATTCGCGGTTGGGAGGTTTGATTCCAGAGGGGCGCAGAAAGGTTGTTTCTTCCGCCGATTTGTGGCTTCTTCCGGGGTCGATTTCGTTCTCTGAGTCTGATGGTTGTTTTTTTATACCTTCCAGACAAATGCCACACAAACCCCTCAAAAACAAGCTTATGTATAATAGTAACAGTAACGGGTTCTCTTTATCCTTGTATACATATAATAGAGTCAGTAATTAACTAATAGGGTTAAAATTTATTATTTATGTCAGTTTATGTGAATAAATATGAGAAAATATGAACTTAAGAGGTAGAGGGACAAACGAATCAAAGAAAGTGAAATTAACAAATAATGATAGAGTGTGAGAATTAAAGTAAATAAAATGGTACTTTATTTACATTTTCATAGCATATCTTTCATTTTTTGAAGCATTACAATATTTATGTAAGACGTATACTTGATGCCCCAACCGTAAATGACTAATTTTATGCTTTATCTTTTACAGGTGAGTTTCATTGAAAAGTTCCCGAATGAAAGGACCAGGGGTAAGTCATTGCATGTTTTGTTGCGGTGTATCAAACATAGAGTGCCTTCCTATTCTTGCAGTTACACAGTTTAAAGTAATTTAACAGCTTCAACTCAATTTAAACGTTCGAAAATTACCAAAACTGTTCTTTAAATTTTAACTGTCGGGATAAAATTTTTTTTCTACATAATTATGATTTCAAAAACCACTCACGATATCGAATACGAGAGGCACTTCTATGCATGCCTGTTAATTTCTGCAGTACTGAAAATATTTACTGTCTGATTAAACGATCTTTTATTTATTGTTATTTCTGTTCATGTTATAAAAAACCAAGAGTTCGGAAAGAATTGGCTCTAAAATATTCTAAAATTAACTACATCGAAAGAAAAACTAGAACATTTAAGTACAATACTAGCTACAAAACGGAATTATAGAGAAGTATTTATTATGTTACTGACATTCAGAATGTGCCCCAGGAAATTTCTAGAAACATTTTTTTTCAATCATCGCTCACCAAGGATTTTTGCCTATTTATTTTGGTCCTAATAGAAAGTATATGAAAGTTTAAACTCTCTAGAGTACCAGAAATTTTTGCCTGCAATGCCCTAAAAATGTAAACGAAGGTTAAAAAGTAAACACTTTTTAGTATTTTTAAAAAAAAGTATGTTGATCAGTGTGTTAAAACTGGCTTATTTATGTTCTCTCGGACGTGTTTACTTACAATGTAAACACAAAAACGTATTAACTTTTCCCTTAGCCACTTACGACTTGAGCATAAACAAGCATAAAATGATGAAGTAGCTATAAATTCAAGTTTGTAGTGTTTGGTAACACCATACGAGATATAGTGTACGTTCACAATGTAGTGTATTAAAATGGTGAATAAATATACAAGAATGCATGATACGTTAATATCTACTATTTTTCCTAAACATTTTAAAGATATTATACTTTTTAATATTTATAAAATGTTAAGCATTACTTAATTATTACTTTATACTCGTGATATTAGAAATCATGGTCACAATACTCCAGTAAAAAAAATTAGATTGATTACCATTAAAGAAAGTTCAATATATTTTTAGACGTCGGTACGGCGATTCATTTAAACAAATGAGTGGTTTAGACACAAACTTTTATGTTAACGTAAAGAACTCTCTGGGTGAATCAACAGAAATGTAAAAATCTCTGAGACAGAAAGGCTTTTACAAAAGATATCTAGACACTTTAATCTGACGGGTCAAGCTGTCAAGTAATATTGTAGATTTTAACTATCCACTGAATTCGTTTTATAAAACCATTGTTCATTTTAGTAATGCTATATTAAGCTATTACTGTGAACGAATAATAACTGTTGTATGATTATAATGAACAAACAGAGCGTAATGCAATTCTTCGTCATTTTATGATTGTTTTTCGTCGAGTAATAAGTTGCTAAGAGTACAGTTTAATAGTTTTTTGTGATTTATTTTAAGTAAACATGTCAATAAAAACATACATAAATAATTTTAATACACTGGTAGGCATATAAGATTTCATTACATACATTTCTAACTTTACATTTTTTTAAGATTTTCCAGGAAAACTTTTCTGTATTCCTAGATATCTGAAATTTATTACGTTCTCTATTAGGTCAACAATGATATGAACATTTTCTGGGGAGGTATATTTTTAATAATGTAAGGTTCCTTTCATTCACTCTGATGAACTGTTACGTTGTATAGGTAATTTCCTTCATTTTAGGACATACGATTTTCCCTGAAGATCCTGAAAACAATCGTTTTAAGATTTTTATTTTGTGAACATCGACCAACTTCTTTAACAGCTTCTTCCGAAATTTTAAAGATTTCTAACTGTCGAGATTTGAGCTACGGTCTCACTGAACCTACATTCGCAGCAACCAATACAATCCCAATTTGGGAATTCCAGGGTACCCAGACGTATCACTTTCTACAGCAAACTTCCTCTTTCTCGCCATCCCTCTTCAGCTGCCAACACCTCCGCGGCGCTCCCTCGGCTGCTTTCACCGCCCACGCCCCCGCCGCCACCACCGCCGCGCCGCGCCGCGCCCACCGCCGCTGCCACCGCCGCCGCCCCTCCGCCGCCGCCGCCGCCGCCGCCCGCCACCTCCGACGGTACGGACGGAGTTTCCGACTCCCCTCGCAGCTGCTCACCCTAACGAGCTACCTGTCCGCGGGGACTCCCAGCAAACAGTTTGCCGACGCCGACGCCGCCGTCGTCGTCGTCGCGAGACCCCGCACCACGGGACTCGACTGCTCCGCCACTCTCGCCTCCGGCTACGCCGCCGCCGCCTCCACCGCCACCACCACCGCTCCTTCAGCTCGCGTCCATCGGTTTTCCATTAGCCCGCCAACCCCCGCCCCTCCCGCCACGCCGCCAGGCCAACACTCGCGCCTCCTCCTTCGAGGAGGCAGCATCGGCACCTTTTGTCCGCCTCCGGAAATGCAACTGCGCGCTTTGACGAAGGATTTTAAAATGGCGTTTAACATTAATATTGTATAAACCATCTTTTTTTTTCTCCGCCGCGAGTCCGAAATTGAAACCTAAGCTCCTCTTAACCGCTTCGCTCTTTCCTCCCGGCTGCTGTGCTTTTGCAGCTAGGTGCGAAGGAAGGGAAAAAAATGAGGAACCGGAGAAAGAATTTCCGAGAGTGAAACGGAAAAAGTGGAAGGGTGGGTGGGAAGGAGGAAACGACATTGTAGTTTTGTTCTTTCAGCCATATCGGATGAAATTACTCGGAAATAAACCGTGGGAAATGAGCTGCAAAAGAGGTAACGCCAGCCTGCGTTTTTATGAAAAGGACCGGCGAATTATGAAACGCAGCGTGGAGCGAGCAATCTGCTCCCCCGGGCGAAGCGAATACAATCTTCCGGTGCTGCTGCCGCTGTTGAAATTTCATCTGCCGAAACGCGCCAAGGACTCATACGAAGGACGTGTTTCCTGCCCGCCCCCCTCCTGCAAATTTGCGAGGGCGTCATTAGGGCAGACTGAGTCCCGCGTCCGCGGTGTCGAGCATGCGTCGCGGTTAGAGAAAATGTGCGTGTAAGCGATAAGAGCAAATGATTGCTATTCCGATTCATGTGCGGATCTAATTTCATACGTTTCATGGTAGTACGATGATTTCTGAGAAGTTTGTTTCCTTTGTAGACGTTGTGATACTGCAATAAAAAAGAGGTGGTTTTCCTTTTCATAAGAACATAAGCCAAAGAGTTGTGGATATTATAGTATTTTAATAAACTTTCTGGGAAAGTAAAATGCGAAACAAATACTCTCCTAAAAGGTTTTATCACGTTGGAGAAAAATTAACTCACAATCGATTTGATATCCAAACATCAATTTGTATCTACGTCATTCTGCCATAGAGCAAGTTCAGGGAATTGTTGAAATCGTAAAGTGGTTCAGCACTTTCATGAAGGTGAGTCAAGCTGTCGATGAAGTATCTAATTTTGAACTCCACTACAAACTTAAGGAAATGTTTTTTTCTGATGTCCCTTTTTAATTACTGGCTCATTAAGATACTAATTGATTGTTTCCTCTTTGGGGAAACTGTTGGGGAAACACGACTCGTAAGGACAACACAAAGAGATGCAAACCCATGCCTGAGGCGAGACTCGAATCTGCGACCGCCGCTTAGCGTAGCATGCTTAAATATACTCATTAAACTACCATTTTTATGAATATATTCATTTCCGCTGTCTTCTCCCCACACTTAACTATTGGCCAAAAGGCTTCTTCTTTAAACTTTCATATCTTTCTACTCTTTATAAGTGCTTTCACTTAGATAAATAAAGTTAATACTGAGCAATTGTGAAAATAAATAGAAACTTTCAAACTTTAGCATTCTCTTGTATATTAAGGATTTTATTTTGAAATATCTAAATTTATTTCCGCTTATTACACTTCTCTCTCTCACTCTCTGTCTCCCTCTCTCTCCCTCTCTCTCTCTCTCTCTCTCTCATAAATAACATAAATATATGAATTAAACATCTTATTTATTGTTAGAAAAATACATTTTTATCAAATATTTTTTTAAAACATGACCATACGTAGCAGACTCTATTGTTTACACGTGCCTGCTTCACTAGAGACAAAGCAGACTTAATTAAATCAACCGAACATCCCACACTATCTGATTCATTTTTGAAGACATATACCTGGATACACGTTAGACGACGTCTACATGTGGATGTTCAAGTACAAATTTCATGTTTTCCAAGAAGCTTTGTCCCATTGTGCAGCCAGACTATCTTAATTTATTATCTGCTTCCACTTTGAACGTACGTTGGTAGAGCTCAGATTCACACGTGTTTGGATAATTAGTGTTCAAATAAGCATTTGGTTACTGAGACGCACCAAACTAGAGTTGAGGTTACAAAAACCTCTCCTGGCAGAACCTCCTCAGAACGTCTCTCCTGCGAATGTCTTGAACAAAGGGATGAGAAAACAACTCGCAATTCCGCTGGTAGCTCGTTCATGGAAACTTTCCTGTGTTGGTTCAGGAGTCTACGCGTATGGCGTTAAAGAGTCCAGTCTTTGGATCGACATAGAGTGACGAACTTAGTACTGCAAACATGCATAATGCGGCAAGCCCCTACATTCTCAGGGTCATGAGAGGGTATTCAGCCGAGGGTTGGAATACTAGAGACCGACTTCTCCGGCCTACTGGAAGCACGACTGCAGGACCTTCTCGTGAGAGTTGTCGGCCCAAGGACATGAAAAACATATCGGAGGGGTGAGGGTACTGGAAGAAGGCAACGCGTAGTTGGGAGAGTATTAGCATTATACGAAACGTCTAGTGATCAGATAACTCTTCCAAAGAGCCACCTTCTTATTCTGAAGTCGTTGACACCAGTGTGAGAAATCAACGCAACCTTCCACTGGCGCGTGGTAGTTGTACTGAAACGTGACGTACTTGGCCCAGTAGTCCACGAGTATAGCGACGTTGAAATCTCCAGGCTTGCAACAGCTCGGTAGTTATGTCTTGGACAGCCTCCTTTATGAAGATGAGCTTGCGAGTTTACCATGTGGGAAGTCGAGATATTGAAGAGCGCTTTCTCCGGCCGTCTGGAAGCACGGCTGCAGGACGTGGTGAAAGGGTCGTCGACCCAGGGGCAGTCGGAGGGGTGAGGGTGTTGGACCAATTGGACCACGTAGAGGGCAGATGGACGGCTGGCTGGGATGCGGCTAGGGATCACAAAACTCCTCCCAGCAGAGCCACCCTCTCCTGCGGAAGTCTTTGAGCACGTAGGTGAGGAACTGGCTGCAGGTGTGGTAGGTCTCCTTGGAGATGCCTCCTTCGCCCTTGAAGGCGCTGTCCAGGTCGGGCGCGTTGCCCTTCTCCGCGCGCATAAAGGGTACGCTCAGCACCGCCCCGAACAGCCCGTAGAAGCCGTGGGCGTTGATGTCCTCCCACACGTCCTTCAGCGTGGGCGACTCCATCCCCAACAGCTCCAGCGTCTCCTGCAGCGCCGCATGGTACTCCCTGACGAGCAGGTCCACGTGCCGCTCCAGCACGTCCTGGTGGAGGCTGGTGTAGAGGAAGCGCAGGAGGTCCATCGCCGGGGAGGAGACGTGCGAGATCTGGTAGTCGACTACCCGCACCTCCACCGGCGCGCCGTGCTCGTACCGGAACAGGATGTTGTTGGTCCAGTAGTCGGCGTGGACGATGACGTTGAAGCGACCGGGCTTGGGGCGGCAGAGCGCGGCGAACTTGTCGTAAACGGCGGCCTTCATACGCGCCAGCACGCGCGCGTACTCGTCGGGCAGGTCGGGCCAGAGCAGCGCGGCCTCGCCGGCCAGCCCGAAGCAGAGCTGCAGCACGTTGTCGAAGGGGTCCTCGCGGGCGGTGCGCCACGGGCAGGAGAGCTCGCGGGCGAGCGGCGGGCTCGCGGCCAGGGCGGCGGCGGAGGCGGCGTGCAGGCGCGCGAGCGCGGACAGCGCCAGCAGGCTGTGGCGCAGCCCCAGTCCGCGCACGCGGTCCGCCGTCAGGAAGCCCCGCTCGCCCAGGTCCTCCAGCAGCAGGAAGGCGTGCGGGTCGGCGCCGTGCAGCAGGCAGCGCGCCGCCAGCGGCGGGAAGCGGCCCGGCGCCGCGGCCTCCAGCAGCCCCTGCAACACACACACGCGCACTCACACACGCGTCGCAATGCAGGGTCTTTATGTAGAGCCCCTACCACACACACACACACGTCGCAATTGAAGGCCTTTATCTAGACGGCGTGGAAAAGGGGTCAGCTTCAATTACATACTGGGAACGTCCAATTCATACAGTGAGATCGGGATCCAGGTTGACTGTTCAAGTTGTAAGAAGAGAAATTTCGCGACATTAATTACATATTGTGAAATTCCAATGTATACAGTCAGATCAATATCCAGATTTGCTGCCCGAGGTATAAGTTATACAAATTTCACAGCATTATTTACATATTGTGAAATTCCGATGCGTACAGTCATATCCAAATCTAGGTTTACTGCCTAAGGTGTAAGAATACAAATTACGTAGGATTAAAGCTGCCATGTTCAATTGTATCGGTTAATAAATTCTACTACCTAATTGTCTTTAATATAAAGAAAATATCTTAAGAGAGTAAAAAACTTGACAGTTGAAGGTCTCAGAAGAACGAGATATCACACATTGGCATTGTTCAGAGATAATGATAATTTTAGCTAAACTTCCCTTATATAACTCAGTACTTTTTAAAACATTTAAACGCAGTACACTTGCGTAGAACCGACTGACTATGGTCGGGCGGAAGAGCAGGCTAAATGGCCTGAGTCTTGCCATCAATAAAGACATTTATTTATAACCTCATATTGTGTTTAAATAATATATTGCACTAAAATAATAATATTTGAAGTTTTATGTAATGACAATACTCCAGTAGAAGAAATGATTTAAATACCTTGGAAACCCTGGGAAGCCAGTGATCGGTTTTGCCAATGAACATTTGGGAGGAATTTCATTTAAAGAAATTAACGTGATATACCTCACGACGGGCTCTTCATTGGTAGGCAAATCATCCTGCACTGCGTTTGCCAGATTAACGAAATCTCAGGGAAACAACTTGCCTACTGGCCACAACAATATTTTGTTTTTTGGTTTTATTGTTCAGCTAAGGGTTGGAAATACTTGCAAATGATTTCCAATGAAGCAATGTATAAAGTCGAGGGTGGATATAATAACACTCTTTCGGCATTCAGATGGGACAAATCACGAAAAACTACAAATGACAGAAGCTAACCACTAGAATTCTCCCCCACTGCCAGATTGAAATGACTTCTCGGCCAGAAACTTTGCTTTGGCAACGCTATTATCCTGAGCCATTTAATACGGTTAGGCGGTACAAGAGATGAAAATAAAAATAAAACTGAAAGCTTCTGCGGGCGGAGTCAATAGATTAACTACTGTCTGAGAGACGCCGCGTCAAATGCCAATCTGCAACCTTCCCGCCGTCATACTCTAGCCTTCCTCAGGGCGAAAAGGGAGCGGAATGGCGTCCCAAACGTTTGCCACTGCGCCAACGCGTGGCAGCCGAGTGCGCAGCGCCTGCAGGTACCTGCATGGTGGGGTAGACGCGCGTGAGGAAGGCGATCTCCCTGGGGAAGAAGCCCGACTGGCGGATGCTGTCGCGCACGGCCGCGTCCTCCGCCTCGCACTTGAGCACCAGCGACCGCTGCGCGCCGCCCTCCAGCTGCGCGCGCACGCGCAGCAGACGGCTGGCGAAGTTCTCGCCCGCGGCGCCCAGCGGCTGCGCGCTCACGCTGCGCACCGCCGGTGCCTGCGCGCGCGCCTCCCCGTCCGCCGACGCCGCCTCGGCGTCCAGCGCCCGCTGCACCAGCGCCGCGTCCACCCACGGCGGCGCGCAGCTCATCTGCGCGCACACGAAACGCACTCACAAACACACTCGAAACAATCGACAGGGCAGCCTCTGGCAGGGCCTGGTGCATTAAGAGGCTGCGCGCAGCTCATCTGCGCACACACGAAACGCACTGAAAAACACACTCATGGCTGTCAAAATGGAAGTGGTCGGTAAAGACTGGTGTACTAAGAAATGTCAATGTCTTGAAAATACTAATAGCAGTGCGCAGCTCATCTGCGCACACACGAAAAGAACTCACACACACACACACTCGCAACAATAGAGAAGGCAGCCTCTGGTAGGTTCTGGTGCATTAAGCGGCAGTGCTTATGTCATCTGCGCACACACAAAACGCACTTACTAATACACTCAAAACAATCGATAGAGCAGCCTCTGGCAGGGCCTGGTGCATTAAGAGGCTGTGCGCAGCTAATCTGCACACACACAAAACGCACTCACAAAAACACTCACAACAATCGAGAAGGCAGCCACTGGCAGGTGCTGGTGTATGCAGAGGAGGCAAAATGTTCAAAATTCTAACACTCAATTGGGTTGAAAATAAGTAGGCCGGTTTTGGATAATTGTAACAGATTTCTAGGACATAGATAGGAGTTGATGGTGATTACTTTTGTTCGAAGAACACAAGGGAAACAGAAGAAGGAAACTGGAGATGGAATTAAAGGAAGGAATCAAGACAAGAAAGCTGTGGAAGGAAATAATTTCTTTCTTTCTATAATTATTTCACTTTTATAACGTTAAAAGTTTATGTGACGTGTGGAGATAGAAAAAGGAAACAGGAGAAAGAATTAAGAAAAATGATCAAAACAATAAAACAGTTGAGAAAGGAATTAGAAGAAAAATATAGAAAAGTTCGTAGATTGGCACTAGGCCTCCAGGTAATTTGGATAATTAATGTATATTAGACATTTAGATTTAACTATATATAATAGCTATCGTTACAAGTGAGATCAGGAATGAGGAGGGAGAGTGATCGATAATGACGCACTGGAAATGAGTCCACGTGAGTGGTAAGTCCATGTCATCCACGTGATCGCACTTTTAGCGTCTGAGTGAACTGAAGAATGCAATGGGAAGATGTTGAGTTGGAAAGAGCAAACTACACCGTAAAATCAGAATCTTCACTGTGGAAAGTGTGATACAATAACTAAGCTATTCCTCCATAAATGGAAATATTACTGTAACACTCATTTAATTAAATTCATTCTTGCATGTTTCAAAAATTGTTCATACGTTGTTTCAGATCGTTTCCCTTCGTTCTATATTTCATTGATTTTAAAAAAACGATATGATGATTTGTTTTAATACAACAATGTATAAACTGTTTAATAATTTAAAAAAGTCCATATGAGAGCATACAAGACACAAAGGGAAGACACAAAGAGATTTGGTGATTCACCTAGAAATATAGATAGGTAGATCGATAGAGAGGGTAGAAGAAGTGGCAATATGAGCGAAATATTCGAAAAATTGAAGCAAAAAGGCCACTAATTTATAAACAAGTCAATAACTCATTCACCCAGAAGATCAAAGGGATTTACACAATTTGTTTTGATTACACATTTTATTTCATCGGAGGGATTGCCAGTGTCCCTTCAATGCAGCAGTTTGATGTCTATGGCCAGATTTTCACACTTGGTAATTTAATTATAGTACTGTTCAAACAAAAATTTCCATCAATTTGGAAACCAAGTTCTATTTCATTTTATTATCACTACTACTAATAATAATTTAAACAATACTCGGAGGTAAATTCGTGTAAAGAGAGTCACCCTTGTTTCAGAAAGTAGTTTTGTTGCTTAAGGAGTTATACGTGACAAATCTATTACTTTCATGGCAAATTTACTATTAAAACATATTGAATTTAATATTGTTGATATACTCTCTGTTTTGCAGCGATAATACCAAAATTTATTTCTACTTTTTTTCCCACGCTCACTTTGATGGCTTTACTCACTTTACGCAAACAAAATCAAATTATTCCAATTCACCGTGTAATGTTTAGGGCAGTATTAAAGAGTGTTAAAGCTTATTGAAATATATGAGTTTCAATGCAACAAATGCAAATGTTTTGATAGTGATATTAAAGTATTTATTAGATCTAAAACAGTATCGTTTTTATTAATTTCATTTACTTCTTAAGAGAAGGGTGACTTGAAATTAAAAATAATTTTGGCTGACGTTTTTAAAGCGACACCTGACAGGCGAAAACGAAATACATCGAAAGTCAAAGATACCCAAAAGAAAATCAAGTACAGAACATTTGACAACAGGTTAGCAAAAAAAACCCTCGTAGAAGCACATTTTGGTGCTGGTGAAAAATTGATAAGTGTTACACAAATGCATACCTTATTCCAAAAGTAAAAAAAAAATTGCCTTTAAACTAGACATTCATCAGGTAAGTATGAAATTCTTTGAAGAGACTCTTCAAAATCAAAACGATTGAAAGTAAAATATAATTGAAACCAAAAATTAAGTTATGACATGTTTGGTGGTAACCAACAATTAACTTGTGGTAAGATAGAAGTCGTTCTGATTTTGTTGACAGAATTTGTTGAGTCATATGCAAATATATGAACAAATTCTGTGTTCAGATGTATGGGTTTCAGGAAGTAATGCTAATAAATAGGTACACATTTTGTGACCAGCTGCGTTATCATTTTGTTTCGTTTATCTAGTCGAATATAACAATAACTCCCATAAATTCTGTTAGCAAACATGTTTCATCTATTATGTAAATTTGACTACAATTTTTACAACACCCAGAACCTATTGTTTCACTAAGATATTCATTTCATTGCTTTCTTACCAGCCAATAATGGAGAACATGCCACTTTATCTTATTTAGAACTTACCACTTTATATTCAGAAGATTTCACTTCTCTCAATTGAAATAATTTGACAGGAAAAACACTTTTTAACTAATTTAACTAATAAGTCGGGAGACCAGTCGGAAGTTTAGAACTTTTCCGAGTGAAGACGATGCCCCCACTGGGGGAGATATTTGATGAGGAAAACCCGTACACCGACGTAATTTCGCGGCAATATCATATCCTTCGGAGGAGAAACTCTGTCACATATCAGGATATAACATATACTGTACTTAGGGGACTATACACCTTCGCATCTGCTTAAGTGACTCAGGACATCAGCTTAATATCACTGCAGTGCCTCTGACTGGGAGATTTTAGAGTTCGAGCCCTAACAGTGGCAGGATTTTCCACACTAGCTTGTTAGGTCAAATTCAGCTACTCTCTAGGGAAAAATTCTAACGGTCGGCTGCTCTGATTGGTAGCTCTGATTGGTTCCGTGGTTCCAGGCGAATGTCGGAGCAGTACCCTCACAAACGAGTCACGTACTGCCTCCGATCTTTTCTATCTGTTGCTAGTCCTACTCTGATCTCTTACTTACAGACACAATTACATGCACAACACTAATACACGTGCCGGGCGACCTATCGGGGGCTTAGAGCTTGTCCCACCTGGGGCGGTACCGCGCTGGTGGGAGATACCTGGTTCGGGAAACCCCTGCTAGCTGACAGTAGGTCGGCACCGGACCTCGCCAGCCAGTAAGGAAGATCTCCACAACCTCCCCCTCACTTACGGAATTAATGACTTTAGCAGTTGACGCGCCGGAAATGAAAAATAATCAATCAATGAATTGACCATAGTCATTTGCATGCCCCCAAAATCAATCAATCAACAACAACAAAAATAGCATTAAAATTCGGAAGTGCAAAGAGATATTCAAACGCTAGGTACGTACTCTGTCAGAAATGTCATTAAATTTTACGTAGATTAATGTATTGTACATGAAACTTACAGGAACCTTAAAAAGAGTTTAATACATTTGTACACTAAATTTAATGCGTATGTTAAAATTCAGAGTAGATTTAATGTAGAGGTTCTCCTGTTTCAATGCCTCGTCATTCACATCGTATATTCACAATCACCAGTCCATCAACATAGTTCTTTTATTTCTTCCAGATTTCACCATAAAGCTTCTACTCTTGCATCCTAATGCATTTGTGTACATGAAATTTTGTATGTGTTCATGATAATTACTAGAGAGATAAATTTTATGCAATTTTATTTAAATAAATCTATAATGTTTTTTAAAATATGAACGTACGACCTAATACTTCTCAAATATGCACTTTAATATACAATTAAAATTAACAATATTTCATATCCTGCATTAACCTCTTTTGATAAAAATTCAGGAGAAGCGTGTTTGGAGTGAAAATATATATTTTGGTGGAAACACAATAATATAATTCTACCTTACTTCGCGGGAGGAATAATTAAAGTAAATATTCACTTTAGTGAAGTACGATGTATTATATATTACAATGTTACATTGTTACATTTGTTTTGCCTGATTTAAAAGAATAATATCAAGAAATTTCCTACATTTTCACAAGTATTTTATCACCTATAGAAAAGAAAAAAAACGCAAACGCTCTTTGTAATCGATGAACGCTCACAAATAAATAGATCATATGAAAAGTTGAAATGTTTTACAGATAAGTCTCTATTTTAACGAAATATGATAAATATACCCCTATAAATACAAGAATATGCACCAAAAGAAAAATCGGTCAAATATGATCAAACCTATTAATCTACAGAGCACCCAACTCTTACGAAATGTCAAGAAATTCCACTTAGCTCTACCCTGAAGCAAGAGAGAAAAATACGCAAAATCACAGCAATCCGCTCCCTAATAATGACTTCAACGTACATTCGACATGTCTGACAGTGCAGCAAGAACGCGCGCAGCGGCGCGGGCCCGGCGGGGGGCGGCGGTACGCACCTTGGCGGCGGGCGGAGTGGGTGTGGCTCGCCGCGAGTGGTCCGCGCCGCCTCTCCCGCGCGAGCGCCTCGGCCCGACTACGCCGCG